AAAGCAGAATACCAGTAAGAAGTTCTAAAAACAGAATATAGAAATCTACAAGGTAAAAGAACAATAGGAGTTGTTAGAACGAAAGTCAAAGATTATAACAGTAAAAAAAGGCTGAAAAGAGAAAAATAGTAATTCCAGAACCTCCACAACTGGTAGTGGAAAATTTAAACGAAATGCAACTTACCATAGAACCACAGCCCAAACGAAGAAAAATAACAGGTAGACATCAAATTACTGAGGACAAAACAGCAATTTTTTGTGCATTAAAAGTATACAAAAATAACCTTTTGGATGATGCTATTGCTTCCATTCGTGAGGAATTATCAGAAGTTTAGACTGTAAAAAAGGTGCGAGAATGATGGAATTATCATAAAAACAAGTAAATTGTGATAGAACTATAATAAGCAAAAGAAAAAATTGTTTTAATATTTTCATTTTATTGAATTTGTTAACAATATAAAAAGACATAAATAGGTTTTTTATTCGATAAAATAAAAATTAACCATTTGCCTTAAAAATCACTATTCTAACTACTTTTTTACTAAGCATTTCGATTGCGCTTAGAATAATACATGTAGTTGTGCATTTAGAAAGCTTTTGGAAATTATATAAACTTGCATTTCGGAGTTAAAGTCAAAAAAAAATAAGGAAAAGTTTGTCATATATAAAGTTTTTGTATATGTGTCATACTATAAAAAAAGGTATTAGAATATATTGCCAGAAACCTCTAAATTGAAAAGTTCTTAAGGTCTTTGGGTTAGTTGCTTGATCTAATATTACGTTGAATTAGACCATCTGTTTCTGATTATTAATGTTACACAAAATTTTAATTAGTGATTGACAAGTGTTTTACCTTATTCTGACATGAACGGTGATTGTTATCCATCTTATTTGCTAATTTTTTTTATAAAATATTAATATATAATATATATAATATTAATTTAACATTATTTATACAATATAAAATCAAATTATTAACTGATTTAATATATTATTTTATTGAATAAATTAATTTTTTTTTGTAACTTGTAATACTAAATTACTAAAAAAAAAAATATAGCTATTTATATTATAAAAATAAATAACATAATTACTTTTTATTATTTATTTTTATAGTTAATTATTATAAAGATTTTATATATTTTAATATTTTTTTGGCAAAATACAATAATTGTATTCAAATTAATTTTTTTTTCTCTTTTATTAAATACCAATTTATTAAAAATACTTTTTAGGATAATGAATAACTATTATAAATTAATAAGTATTACCTTTTTTTTAAAAAAAAAATTTTATAAAAATAGATACAAAAAATAAACTTCAAAAAATCAAAAAAAAAAAAATGTAAATATAGTTTAAAAGAAGGAAAGAAAATTTTTAGTAAGAAAAAAAGTCATGATAAATGCTTATATAAGAGGTGTATATGATGCAAATATTTAATAAATAAATTCTATTAATTAAGAACAGCGAATAATTCACTATTGTCTTCATTAGTAATATTATTAAGTTCAGTATCTTCAAAAGAAAATTCTCTATTAATAACGGTTGGATCGGATATTTCCAAAAGTTTTTCTATAGATGAAGTCATTCTCCATTCATTCGTTTGTAATACTATTTCACATACTTCTGGGTCCATATTAGGAAACATCGAGATAAGTTCCGCAAGTGATGCTTGAAATTCGGCTTCTGTAACCTTAGCTACTTCTGCTTGAACATCAGAAAAATCGTTGGACGCCCTAGATGATCGCGAAGAAACAGAATGTGATCGTTGCCTGCTTCCTTGATCCTGTAACAAATCGCTATCTGACAATCGTCTATGACGAGCAGGTTGTTCATTAATTGATGGTGGTCTTTGAGGTGAAGTACTACGCGAAGAAGATTGTGAATATGAATTTACTTCTAAATTAGGATTAACTTGACGTGAATTAATCGTTTCGCTTGCTTCGTTACTGATCTCTGCAAGAATCTTTCCAACTATGTTCAATGGTTTTTGTATCGTTCTTTGAGCGAAATTCCTTCCATTTTCGAATAAAGCTCTAGCCTGTGCAGGGTTCAAGATAGGTGTCTTTAAATGTTGTGCAACTCTTGAAGGATGCATGACATTATCGTAGCTGATTTCCCTAGTATTTTTTGGTATTTCTGGCCATTCTTTTTCAAGTTCTTTCATTGTTATTTCAATATTTCTATGTATAAAAGTAAAAAAATATTATATTGATGAATATATATTATGAATCAATTTAATTGGAGGCTACTTACTTATCAAAGTCCTCTTGCGTTATAGAGAGTGATGAAACATCCATATTCTCAATAAATGAAATTGCGCCCATCTAAATAAAAAACATATATGATTAATATTGTTCTGATCAATTGATTATTAGAAATCTTAGGAAATAGAATTATTTAAATTTAGATTTATAGAAATAAGCATACACATACCAAGCTGGAAAGATAGTAACCCGCTTCAGATTGTAATTTCTCTGGATTTCTAAACCTTGATATATATCTAATAAAAAGAATAAATTTTTGAATAAATTTTTTTTGATAAATAGTACTTACATAAAGGACTTACTGAACGTTAGATACTAAATGATCAGGATTGGCTCTTAAAACCACAAAAATAAGGATGGGTAAAAATTTATCTGCACCCTCCTCTCCATCCACATGTCTTATTAAACCTACCAATTAAAGTTAGATCTAGTAAGTAATGAAAATTATGTTTAAAAATACAGGAAAGTTAAACCCTACCAAAAATGACTTTACAACAATTAAGGATGCAAATGAGTTTGTCACGTGGTGCTTTGAAATGGTTTATTTTCAATAATTCTGAAAAAAAAAATTAGAATAATAACAAAATCAGATAAAGGATTGATGCATAAATTCATGTGAAGATCATAATTTAATCCCAGTCGTAGTAAAAAGCAATTTTGGCATGAAATCAGCTACAGTTGTATAATCTATCTCTCTATATTTTTTAAAAACAGTTAAAAGTTATTACCATTTTTGGCAAATTCAAGAAATTGTTCATTATGTGGAGCACTTGGTATATCCAAATGTTCTTCCTTTACCCATCTAAATATTTGAATTTTTTTATGCAAAATTTCATCTCGTTCTTTATCGTCAGTTGTTACTGAACCTCGAATCGCCGGTGAAAAAGTTCTAAAACAAAAGAGATCAATTTTCTGCATTAATAAAATTCAAACAAAAAAAAGTATTTACAACTTACAATTTATATAATCTATTCATCACCAATTTTTCCATTCCTTCTTTTGCATTCTCAAATTCAGCTTCAGTTGCATCACGCCATAACTCGCAATCACGCATTTTCACAGATATGAACTAAAATAATGATGAAAATTTCTCATATTTAGATAATTCAATTAAGTATATATGTGAACATCCAAATTCTTATACGTACATCTAAAAAATCATGTATGATTCTTATTTGATCATTGACCGTCCAAGGTTTTCGTTCAAATTCCCTTTCAAAACTATATAGTAAAATAATAAGATTAAAATCCATTTAAGAAAGAATATCATTAAGAAAAATCGAAGGATTAATTACTTTTTAACATAACGTGCAATAGTTTGTGCGTTTATATTAGCCATTTGTTGAAGAAATTTTCCGAAATCAAACTGTACATCCTGTTGAGGTGATGGTTTTCTTGCTAAATTATGTTTTCTTACAACATTCTCTACCGTGCTTGCAGTGGAAACTTCTCTGGAACCCTGTTTTTCGTTCATGCTTTCATTTGTGGAATTGTTAACTGAACCAAATAACCATAAATGTTAATTAATTAATATTTTTGATTGAACAAAAAAGGTCCAAAAGTTAACCACAAATATTTTTACCTCCTTGCGATGATATTAGTTCAGATTCATGAGAACGAGTGAATTCAAACTTTGAATTTTCTATTTGAAAGGTGGAAACATTTGATTTGTTTTCTTGTTTTATTCCATTTTCGTGCTTCTCGTTAATTTCTTTTAACTCTACTTCTTTCTCTTTCTTTTCATTATTTATCTCAATTGCTAAAAATCAATGTCATATGAGTAAATAATGAAGTTATGAATTTATAGATAACACAAATAAACTTCAAAACTTACTTTTTTTTTCTGATAATGGATCAAATTCAACTACCTCTTTGTAATCAAAAGGTGAAGAGGTTCGCTCTGTTTGTGACTCTAGTGCCCTATTATCTGCATCTTGTTCAACGTCTTTTAGTTTGTCTACCGTAGAAGTAATAACGTTGGTTTTTGTTGATTCCATTTTATTTTTTTTTAAAAAAAAAGGTAGAGAGAAGTTGTTATAATGTCGATCAATTCTCAAAAAAAGGAACTTCATTTTTGTGGTGCCACAGTAGAATTTATATAGCAAGGGGACGCTGTTGTTAAATATAATGCATTGTCATATGTACATAAGAATTCAGCCAATTTATTATTTATTTATATTAATCAAAAAATTTGATCGACCGTTTGAATGCGCGTGTTTGTTGAACAATAAATTTTCACAATCTTTTCACATTATTTTTTTTTTAGGGTTTATAGTAAAAAATATTACGTATTTGAATCTTGTTAAAAACAATCATAAAATCTTTTTTTATTCAACTTGGTTTCGTAAAGAAGTGGTTTTTTTGATCTATTTTTATAGCAGAAAAGTAAAAACCAATCACTTTAATTAAAGATGTAGAATGAACAAATAAATTTTCCATAATTCGAAACCAATTAGAATGGATTTTCATGGTGTTCCCGATCAAAAAAAACATTCTGATCTAACAAATCATCCTTATTTAAGTAATGTAACATCATTGATGGCTTAAAAATAATGAGGCTTATAAAAAAGGTTTTGTCAAAGCCCAACCAAGAATTCGGTAAAAAAAACCGCATTTATGATTATCACGTGAAATTGAAAATTAGCAGATTTTGATGGATGTAAAAGATCTTTCCTTCCGCTAATTCATTTATTTATTTATTTTCACTTGTTCGTTATCATGCTACCACGCAATATGTTTTTATTACTTAATGAAACAACTTCAAATGCGTGGTATCGTGGATTAAAATTATTACCGTGTCAAGGAGTTGGTTATTTTTTTGCAAGAAATCGATCATTCATAACCACAAGAAATTTGTGCATAGGAACTGTCTGTAATAGATTTTCTGAATCAATGCATGATAAATCAGTCTTGCCAAATTTACAAAACTTGATCCTTTCACGGTTCAATAATCCAAAATATAATTTTCAACCGTTACGTTGGAACACAGGTTTTAATGGTCAAAAATCGACTGTTTCGTATTCTATCAGGTTAGGTTTATCTTTTTTTTTTTATCAATCACTAATTAACATTTCTTATCTAATTTGAATCGCTTTTTACTGTAAAAAAGTGAACTTTCACAAGATACGTATCATCGCTTTTCAGACATTACTATGGAACATTTGACGGAGTATTTGGAAAATCTTAGTGAACAAGTGAACATAGACGGTTTCGATGTTGAATATTCGGTGAGTCAGTGCAAACTGGTTGGTAATGAAATTTAACAGATTGTTTTTTGCAACTGTACTATCGTTGCTGAGTTCATATTTACCATCCTGGATGTCCGTTAGAGTGGAGTTCTTACACTTAAGTGTGGTCCTTCTGACACTTACGTACTCAATAAACAACCACCTAACAAACAAATTTGGTTGTCATCGCCTATCAGGTATGTGGTATCAAAATAATTATCTCAAATTTGTAACAATTCATTATATTAAAAAAAATATTTTCTCATTATGGAAATTAAAAGTGGACCCAAGCGTTATGATTATGATTCAACCCATAAAAAGTGGTTTTATCAGAGGGATAACTCAACGTTGGATGGACTTCTTAATGAGGAATTGTCTGCAATATTCGGAATTAAAGTTGATGTCACTTTACCAGCATCCAATTAAAATGAAATAATATGATTTTTTTCACGTGATATTTGAAAAATCATTAGCGATTTATAATTATTATTCTGTATTAAGAAATTTATGAATATTTTGCCTTTAAAGTAAACTATTTGAGATCCTAAAATGCTAAAACTTTGTGTTCCATGTTTTTCGCCATTTGATAAAGACACAACTTTTAGAAAGTGTAAAGTAAATCGAATATGGCTCAATCAGTATCGGAACAAGATATGGCTAGCGCCTTTATGGATTGGGTATGGTTTAATATCTTTTTAGAAACGTGATATTGTCCACAATTTAAGGAGATATTGGAGATATTGTTAATATGTGATATAATTTTATTTTTTTGTTTCTAGGCAAACACTTTTAAGCTATCACGTCCTGTCGTAAAAATCAGTGACCTTTCTGATATTAATATAGAAATAGTTGTAAACATGTATCGGAATTTCAAAATAGTTGTTTATATCTCAACTTATATCCAGAATGGTTTAAACTTTCTTCTGGTGAAGCTCGGGAAGATAATTGGGTGAATAATTTCAACAAACTCAGAAGATTATTCTTACTCCTTACACGTTATTATGAAGAAATTCTTGGATTTTCTTCTCGAAAACTTGTATCTCCAGATACTATTGCATAATATGGAAACTTAGACGAGCTGTATTCATTAATTGTCACGTTGACCGTGAATAATGCTAATAAGGAAACAAATCTTGAAAAAAATTACACAATTAAACGCAATTTCGCAAGAGGGGTTGAAGTATTCCATTGAACGGGTATGGACTATAAATTTAATTATTTATTAAAATATAATGATTTTTTAATTAGTCTGTAAATATAAAAATAGGTGATGAAACGATTAGGGGAATCTACTGTCGAAGCACCACCAAAAATGAACTCGGATAACTTGTAATTAAAATTTATATTGATTTATTTTGTTTATTCAGATTTTTAAGACTTGATTTATTTATTTTTTTATTGCGTGATTTCTTATTTTATTTTAGAGATTAAATTCATGTGTAAAAAGGAAGAATTGTTGCTCAAAAAGAAGCTCTAGAAAAAGCACATCAAGCTTTAATGGAAGAACACATTGCATTGCGTGATCAATGTGTATGTATGTAAATTTTCAATTTATTATAAAGCTTTAATATTATATTTGAGATACGTATAAATATATAATGGGTATAAATAGGATGATTTGCAAGCTGAACTGGATCGCTTTAGCTCATTCTATTCAGACGACTTGATTTTGAAAGCAAATAATGATCGACTTCAAAATGAATTGCAAGCATGATTTTATTTATCTATGAATTTCGGAAATAAAACCGATTTATTATATTGTTTCTATACATATAGTAAGGAAAAACTTGCAGATCTCACTCGCCAGATAGGCTTTTTTTTAAAAAAAAAAATCATTAATTTAAAATATTTCCAAGAGATTCAATTAAACAATTGATTTAAATAATAAATCATAAGAATAAAATACTCACCGAACAAGCAAATAAGGCTGCGAGGATGAATTGATACAAGAAGAATCAGATAATGATGAAATCGAATGTCAATAGAAAATAAATTTGCTAACTTTCTTTAAGGTTAGACAGAAATTCTAGAAGATGAAATAAATAATTTTTTAATAAAGAAGAGTTAGCTGAAGAAGAAAGTGATGCTGCTTTAAGATTGAATAATATTACTCATCCTGCAATTAATATCAATGCTAAATGGAAATTAGCATATTGTTGCAAGATAAAAATTTTATTTTTATTTAGCCTTTTGGATACATGTTGATTTTAGATATTCATTTAAAAAAAATTTTAAAATAAGAAAATTTTATCATTATTATAATATTTATTATATATAAAAATATCAAATAAACTAAAAATTTATTATATATAATAAATTCATATTTATATAATAAATCATAATTGATTAATTGAAAATTTATATTGGTTTCTAAATAAATAATAATAAATAATATATAAAAAATCAAAAAAAAAAAATTTTTAAACTAAAATATTATGTTCTGAAAAATATCTTAAAAAAAAACAGAAAAGAAAATATTAGTTATATTTTTATTATAAAATTAGATAAAAAAAAAGGAAACTTATCTGAAATCAAAATTCAAGAGAATAAATAAAAACAAATAAAACAAATAAAAGTTAATAAAAATAAAATAAATATATAAATAAATATTTGTAATAATATAATACTATAAATTTATAAAAATTTAAATCTGAAATTTTGTAATATTACATATATATCCTAAAAATTAAGCATAGCGGTCATGCTTATATCACAATGTCGATCATTTGCCAATCATATATATGAATTATCACATTATATTGTCTAGATTTTAAGCTTCGG